GGTATTAAATCAAATTAAGTTATAATAGTAAATATTATCTATTCAACAGGAACAAAGGAAATAAATGGTTTTGTAGAATAATCATCTAAAAATTATGAATAAACCCTTGAATTGTTATTTGAACTGAGCTATTCACGAACAACTTGTTTAGAGTTTTAGGTTTATTAAATGAGACAACCAATCTGAGTTTTCAAGAGCTACAACTAGTCCAACTTTAGCATGGTTTCATATTCGTTTGTTAAATGAGCACAAGCTAAAATATGTGTTACCCATCACTATTACAATGGCACTTATAATCAACCCCAATCAATATATACTTATCTAATTATTGGTTAATTATGTTTTTACATTTTTTGTATTGTGTTGCAATATTAGAAAAGTATTATTAGGATATGTTTTTACAAGACAAAACATTGCTAAAAGATAATAATTGTATCTTCTAAAGTTAACAGAATAATTCGATATCAACAAATAAACTCTTGGTAAATAAAATAAAAATAAAAATGAGAGAACAAATAAATTATTGGTAGGTGCAAACTATACAAGTATTTAACTTTTGCAAAATCAAATTCACAAACAAAAAAAATGAGAGAATAAATGTATACATATAATATGACCATATGAGAAATAAATAAAGGAAAAATCACGTCAACATTCGTGACGATAATAAATATTATACATGCTATCAAAATAAATGAGTAAACTAACAGACTATGAAAGTGACATGAGATATAAAGCCATGTGCATTATAACAATTTAGAGAAATGAGAGTATGGAGATTTCTTTAAGGACTTGGTCTTTGTAATTTTGTTACAAAAGTCCCTAAAAGTCTTATAATATGAAAAATCTCATAAAATATTCCTACTTTGAATATCGAGTGACTTATAGAGACTCTAGAAAGTGTTAATTGAATACCTTGAGACTCTTAGATATTTTTAAAAAAAAACTTTAAAGTCTCAGTTGAGTACATATAGACTTTTCAGATGTCTCAAAAAAATTTAATTGAATACACTAAAATTCTAAATTTTTTAAAAAGTATTTAAAAGTTAAAATTGTATACAATCCCTAAAAATTCAATTTAATATTGATAAGACTTTTTAAAAATTTTAAAAAATTCTAATTGAATACACACAAATTTTAAAAGTTTAAATTAAATATATAAGCTCATAGGTTTAAGGGATTTGTGTGGTAATCCAATGGTTTATATCCTTCCCTTAGTCTTGCATGATTGATCAGATTGCAAATTTGGTAAAAGAATTGCAAGTGTAGTCCTACTTCTACTTGACTAACATGTTGGCTATTTGATGAGAGCAAAAAAATAAAAATAAAAAATAAAAAAATATTTATTTATTTTTTAAACTTGTGGGGCCAAATATAAATACAATCAATCCTGGGATTAAATTTGTAATTTCATTCTCTCTTTTCTCCTTTTCCCATTCCGTCTCTATCATCTCTGCTAATTATATATTCCCTCAGATTCTCAGTTTCCCTACTTTACACCGACAATGGAGGAGGATAAATCGGTTTCCATCTCCGCCGAGGAAGCTAATAACCACGGCTGGCAGAAAGTTACCTACGCCAAAAAGCAGAGAAAAAATCAGGCTACCAAAACAGCGCCTGATTCCTCATCTAGGCTCCTTCTGCTTAACGGATCCGACAAAGACATTGTCTTTAAAGGCTTGGAGAAGCACGCGGAGGAGCGTCGCCGGAAATTGGAGGCGCAGAGAGCCGCCGCACCCGTTTATGATGATGACGATCGAATCCAGGTGAGATCGAGGAGGGATGGAGGTGAAGATGACTATTTAGAGGACGATTATGGCAGTGGCGATGCCAAGGAAAACAAACCTGCGGAGGCCAATAAGAAGGAGAAACCGAAGAAGGTTAAGAAGCCTAAGGTTTCTTTGGCGGAGGCCGCCGCTAAGATCGACGCCGATGATCTCGCCGCTTTTCTGTCCAGTGTTTCGGTAATTTATTTTTCTTTTTCTTTTTGGTATTGAAAAGGCTTATTTTGTTACTGTTGATGTGGAATTATAGAGACTTATGAATTTCATGGTATCAGGAGTCGTTTGAAGGGCAACAAGACATTCAATTGATGCGATTTGCAGATTATTTTGGTCGTGCTTTTTCGGCAGTGAGTGCATCGCAGTTTCCATGGCTCAAGTTGTTCCGGGAATCCCCAGTGGCCAAAATTGTTGATGTGAGTTTATCAGTAATTTTTGTGATAGTTCTTCTGGAATCTGGATCTTTATTTTTTTATTGCGAATTGAACTTTAAACATCGAGTGGTAGCCTAACATTTTATGGATGGTAGTATAGTTGGCTGGAAAATTTTTAGTTTATTCC